AAAGGGTGGAAGCGAAAGCCAAACCCAAATATTTCGGCCTCCCCAATCGATGGACCCAGTAAACGGATCCGGATGGATGAAGATGGAGAAATAATGGAAAACTCTCTCATGAATATAGAAGCGACGACCTATGATAAGCAGAGGTGCCGAATGCAATGAGTTGTTTATGCTGGAACGTACGAGGTCTGGGGAATTCTCGTACGGTGAGATCTTTGCAGAGATTGGTCTGGGGAAAAAGCAGAATTGGGATATGATCCTATAGGATTACCCTCTTGAAAAAATGCCAGTCACTATCTAAATGACTAAACAAAGACCAACTAATGAACTGAAGCCCCACCAATACCTAAGATTGCTCTGGGTTGGATAATCTATCCCTAAAAAAGCTGATCAAGCGCCTATTATCATAAGAGAAGAAAAACTTATTTCATAGTAAAAAAATGGGCTATATGTCATCTATTTTTCAAGTGCGAGAAATTTCCGCGGCCTGTAACACATGGTTATCAAGCTGTGAAGGCCCCTACAATAAATTTATTGATTTACAAACCTGCTTTGGTTGTGCCTTCCCGTAGAGAGAGGGAGATCAAATGGCAGTAAAATGAACTTGTTAAACAAAGAAAGGGGAGTCACTAGTAGGGGTGTTCACGGTCCGGTTTTAATGGAAAAAAACCATCAATCCGAACCGCAGATCGGTTAAAAAAGCCTTAAAAAAATCCGGTGGTTATTTTTTTTTTAAATCCGGAATAACTGGTCTGGTTAACGGATTACCTGAGGCAAACCGCCGGTTTAACCGCACCGGATCAGTAAATATTAAAAAACTATAACATATATATACATCCAATCCAAGTCCCCAACATGAAGGATGTGACTGAAAAATGAATGATTTGCTCCTATTATTTCAGGTGTCTAAACTGACTGAAAAATGGATGTCTGCTTGGGTTCAGTTTGCATAATTTAATTTTCATCATTTTTGTATTTTTATATTTATGGGACGAAATGTGTATTTTTATGCTTATGGGACGAATTGTGTATTTTTTATTTCTTTATTGTTGTTTTTCTTAATTTTTAGACCCAAATGATCTATTGGCCCAAAATTGAAAAATAAAAATCATGCCCAAAATAAAAAAAATAAAAAAAAAAATTAAAGGCCCAAAACAAGGATTTTGGATTTAACCGGTTAACCGCCAAACCGGACCGTCCAATGCGGTCCTGATTGTGGCCGGTTAAAAAATAAAACTGGTCCGATTATGGACAAGAAAAAAAATTAACCGTTAGGTTCGGTTTGGTCATGGTTTGGGCTAAAAACGGACCAATCCGGACCGTGAACACCCCTAGTCACTAGAACGAAGCTTACCAGAATATTAGTCCCTTTCAGTTCCTGGACTGGGCTCAACAAAAGTTGAGTGGGACGAAAAGTCTTTTGAAACAATCTCTATTCTCTTAGCCCATATTGTCGTGCCCTGAACTAGAACTCGAACTACTGGCTATGTCATTTTTCTTGGCTCAAATGTCATCTCTGGGGAATTCTCGTACGGTGAGATCTTTGCAGAGATTGGTCTGCAAAATATCCCCCTATCTAGTCATTCTGTCTAAGACTAGATTTTCTGGCTAAAAGGCAACTAATATTCGTAACCTTCTTCAGTTTACCAGAAACTTTGTGGTGGACTGTTCAGGCCTTAGCGGCGGCCTTATATATTTTTCTGGGCATATCGATGCATTTATTGTTGATCATGATAACAGACGTTGGCGGTTCACGTGTGTTTATGGGCAAGCAAAAGTGGAGAACTGTCACCATATGTGGGACTTAATGCGGAGGTTACATTCCTTGTCTAGCCTCTATTGGCTTTGCCGAGGGGATTTCAATGAAATAATTTTATTGTATGAGCGAAGTGGAGGGACTTTTCGAAACCTAGCTTATTCTCGGGAATTTCAACTAGTCCTTTTGGATTGCCATCTCGATAATATCCTTTTTAAGGGGTCATCCTTTTTAAGGGATTGGCACACGAACAAGTCGGGAAGACGAACGCGTG